TAAAAAGAAAAAAGTTTGCATTCGTTTTTTTTGTTGTTGAGTTTCATATTTATTATATGCACATACTCAAGGAGGAAGCAACACCTCATTTTTATAAATAAAAAGAAAATTCTATTTTGGTGCAGTTGCTGATATTTATATCAAGTTGATCAGTCGAGTAAGGGATCATCTAGAAATATTACTAACAATATAAAAATTATTCTTACATTTACTTTATGAAAATCATTGAAGATTTCACAATAAAAAGACATGTGTGCCACCTCCTGAGAGTATAAACTATAAACCAGACAGTTTTCCAGCATAGTTTTGATCACGTTGATCATTTAGGAACCTTAAAAATGTGCATATCAAATATGATACAGTTGGCTTTATAGGGTTAAAATGTCTTACATACTTGGCTGAGTGATCTGAGAATGAGCAGCTTAAAAAAATAAGTCAGAAGTATGAATCAAGTATTTTCATGAGCCCATAAGTACTGTTTTCCTTCCTGTATTGATGTATTTTTCTGTTGAATCAGAAAGTTCAAGAGGACATATTGAAAGGCTTATCCTCCCATTTCAAAATAGCTAATAGATAGCTAATAGACTTTAGATCACATGAACCATGATTTGCTAGTCAGTTGCAGGTGGTATAAGAGGGAGGGACATTTGTTCTAGACGGCATTTAATTGGACAAAAATCTGTGTAGTGCAGGATGAGATGTCAATATTTTGGTCTGTTTTTTTCCAGAGATGCTTTTCCATTTTAAATGTGTATATTTGCAAAAAAAAAAAAAAAAAAACATTTAGAAGTTCACTAGCCTATAGACAACCTAATAAACATGGACTAAAGTCACATTTGGTCCTTAAAGGGATAGTTCTCCTAAAAATTCATATTCTGTCATTATTTACTCACCCTCATGTAATTTCATGTCTTTTTTTCTCCAGTGGAACATAAAAGAAGATTATTTGAGAAATAATTTGCAACAATCTCAGTGTGTTTTTTTCTTCTTCTACATAATGGAAGTCAATAGTAACCCAGAATGGTTTGGTTACCAAAATTCTTCAAATATATCTTGTGTTCTGCAAAAGAAAGGAAGTCATACATACAGGTTTGGAATGACATGAGGGTGAGTAAATGATGAATGTGAAATATCCCTGTAAGTCAGATTTATAATAATATAATTGCAGCGATTGTACAGTATTAAATGTGTTTAAATCACTAATTTGTGTTTTCTAAAGATAATGGAAGGGATGCCTTTTTCTCTGTTAAATATTTATGAACCAGGATGAAAAAGGAGTCAAATGGAGCATTAAAGGTGGGGTAAGCGATTTTTCAAAAACGCTTTAGAAAACTGATTCGGGCCGACTAGCAAAACAAACTTGTAGCCAATCAGCAGTAAGGGGCGTGTCTACTCATGATGATGTGTGGGGCGGAGCTATCAAAATAGGGGCGAGACCCTTTTGGGGTTGGGGCGTGTTTGTTTTGGTGATTTCAAATGTCAACATTGGCTACCAGAAATCGCTTACCCCACCTTTAAGGGAAAAAAAGCTTTTTGCCCAACACTTAAAACATCAGCTTAAATGTGGGGGTGTAGACAAATACACCTATGCACCGATCATATGCACACTGCTCCGGGTGTGTGTTCACTGCTGTGTGTGTGCACTTAGGATGGGTTAAACGCAGAGCACTAATTCCTAGTATGGGTAACCATACTTGGCCACATGTCACGTCACCTCATATCCTCCTGTGAATCTTGTTTTAACTCTGTGGTGAAGCACAGCTCTGCTGTTGATTAGTTTCTCACATATATTATGGATTATGACTCTTTATTTTAGTTCACATGTTGCTTGATCTGTTCGGTTTTAAATGATTTCCTTCTGTCTCTCAGGAGTGTATCATTGATGAAGACTGTGAGAAGGGCAGCTACTGTCTCTACAAAACACAGAGCTCAAAGTGTCTGCCCTGCAAGCACACTGATGCGGTAAGCGGTTTCAAATTTCACAGACCAGGCACATTTCTAGGTACACTTAACCTCTGCTACTATCAGTAAAAGATCATCTAGTTTGCTTATTACATGTTAGGTATTCAGCCTAGTCTCGAATTATTTCGATTTGCTCATGACTTTCTGGTTTCTCTGGGTCTCTGCACAAATATAATACTCAGCAATGTGGCTTTCCAATAAAATGATGCAACTGAGCCTGCATTGTGACTGCATTGCGGGACGAGTGCACCTGGAATCAGATATGCCGAAGCGTTTCTCCTTTGGGTTTCACATCAAAGTGCGCAGATTGCTAAATATGAGCAGCTTCTCCAGTCCCAGATAGGACACACTGAGTTCACTTTGAGGCACAGGAAGTAGGGGAGCCAACTAAGCAGAATACAGATGTGCATTACTCTTTCAGGATATTGTTGAAGCAGATTCTAACACCCAACCAAAACAAACTGTTTGCGCTTGTTAAAAAAAGCCTTTTCCTGGCTCGGCAATGAACAAACCTAACCATATACTCTAAAAAATGCTGGGTTGTTTCAACCCAACTTTGGGTCAAATATGGACTAACCCAACTTTTGGGTTAAAAATTGAATGTAAAAATTTAACCCAATGGTTGGGTTAGTCCATATTTGACCCAAAGTTGGGTTGAAACAACCCAGCATTTTTTAGAGTATATGTATGAAACATTGTGCTAATAGTTTTCTAAGATTTTCTTTTGGCAGATGATAAAAGGGTGAAAAAAAATACATTGAAGGCTTACACTGACATCAGTGACACGAGATATTAAAGATGGACTCTTGTGAGACAGAATAACCCTTATTTACTGGTTCTTTTTGGTGAACATGCAGCATGTTCAGAGGAGTCAGATTCTTGAACGGATGATTCTTATGAGTCAGTTCTGATTAGTAGCATAAAGCACAACCTGTGGAGTTTGATTCCCTAAGAAATGACTCTTATGAATCAGTTCTTTTTAGTAAATTTATAGCATACAGTGTAACCCACAGAGTTTGATTCGCTACCGAATGACTCTTGTGAGTTGCTTCTTTTTAGTGAATCAATAACATTCAGTGCAACGAGTGGAGGAGTCTGATTCTCAAACTAATGACTCTTATTAGCCATTTTAATGTTTCAATAGCACACAGTTGCAATCACAACAAGTGGAGTCAGATTCCTGAACGGATGACTCGTGTGAGCCAGTACCTTTTTAGTGAATCAATAGCATGCTCACTATTTAGTGAACCAACTGCATATAGCGCAACCAGTAGAGTCCAGTTTCTGAATGAATGACTCCCATGAGCCAGTGTTTTTGAGTGAATCAGTAGAGTCTAATTACAGAATAAATGAATTATGATCTAGTTCATTTTAGTGAATCATAAACGATTATGAGTCAGCCAGTGCAGTTAACCAACAGGATTCACATACTGAACCACAAGTTATTCATTGTGTCTTTGTAATGATCTTTTACGAGAATTGTTTTATATTTCTGAGATCTGTTCTGTTGAAATCTAAAATTATCTCATTGTTTGTAACACAATGCTGATGGCAGCAAGTGCATTACTGTGCTTCCTCAGAAATGAATGAATCATTAATGGAATCAGAATCATTACATTCCTAACGATTTTTATTCTTACTCAGAACAATTTAGCAACACCCTGGCGCTAATGTTTGTACAGGCTAAGACTAGTTAAGTTTAGTCTTAAATTTACTGTTTAGATATTACTTTGATAATTTTTTTTTCTGAAGAACGTGTGATTAGAGTAAACACTCAAGTAACTCCTTCCGTCAGTTTTCCAGAGATGCATAGCTGCAGGACAACCTGTGCATCAATGTCCTGAAAGACTGAATTGTTTGATTCAGTATATGCATGAAATATGTATGCTGAAATATTTTGAGTTGAATCGCTGTCTCAAGACTTTTTATGTCCTGTATCTCCTTCAGACGTGTACCAATGATGAGGAATGCTGTGTGGGACAGCTGTGTGTGTGGGGTCAGTGTGCAAACGGCACAAAGGGGGATGCAGGAACCATCTGTCAGTACCAGAGTGATTGTAAGGAGGAGTTCTGCTGTGCCTACCATAAAGGTATGAGCATTTGCATTATATGATTATTATGCTTTCTGTTTAACATCTTGATCTGCACCTGCTGGATAATGCAGATTGTTAACTACTTGCTTTCAATTTTCAGCCCTGCTGTTCCCAGTGTGCAGCTCTAAGCCAATAGAACGCGAGCGCTGTATCATTTCAGCCAATCACCTGATGGAGCTGCTGTCGTGGGATTTGAAGGCGGATGGTCCACAAGAGCACTGCCCATGTGCCGGTGACCTGCAGTGCCAACATCTTGGGTAGAAATGTTTTCACTTAACATGACATAAAGACGTATATATTTAAATATAATATATTCATATTTATACACTGCCAGTCAAAAGCTTGAATCAAGTTTTTTTTTCACCATTTATCTGTTTAAAAATACAGTAAAACAGTAATATTGTGAAATATTATTAGTATTTGAAAGAACTGTTTCTATTTTAATGTATTTTAAAATGTAATTTATTCCTGTGAGGGCAAAGCTGAATTTCCAGCATCATTGCTCCAGTCTTCAGTGTCACATGATCCTTCAGAAATCATTCTAATATGCTGATTTATTGTATATTAAATACGTATAATGCACATATCAGCCTAAAATGACCCAATGACAATAACTTCATAGCCAAACTCTGTAGTTTTTAGTGATCAACTTGTTTTATATGCACTATTTCAGAAAGAAAAAAAAAAATGTATACACTACTGTTCAAAAAAGTTTGGGGTCAGTAAGTTTTTTTTAAGAAATGAATACTTCTGTTCAACAAGGTTGCATTAATCTGATAAAGAGTGACATTAAAGGCATTTATAATGTTACAAATGATTGTAATTCACATAAATGCTGTTCTTCTGAACTTTCTATTCATCAAAGAATCCTGAAAAAATGTATCACAGTTTCCACAAAAATATTAGGCAGCAAAAACTTTCATAATATATGTTTCTTGAGCTGCAAATCATTGTATTAGAATGATTTCTGAAGGATCATGCGACACTGAAGACTGCAGTAATGATGCTGAAAATTCAGCTTTGCCATCACAGGACTACATTTCAAATATTTTGCATGTTACTGTATTACTGGAGTTTTGCTCTGTATTTTTGATCAAATAAATGCAGCCTTGGTGATCAGCCTTGACTTCATGAAATAATATATGAAATACCGATATGAAATTATGGTCACTCTCTCTTTATCAGACGAGGTGCACTGTGCCTGAAGAGTCAGAACTCCAGCGAGGAGGAGCTCGCCGATACCCTCTACTCTGAGATCGACTACATCGTCTAGTGAGACTCAGCCTGTTTGACAGACAGATGAAGAGAAGCTGCTGAAACAGACAGGAACGCTTCATCGTCACTCCAAAGCTTTGTAGGAAACGCCTTCATTATAATCACCCAAACAGCCTCTAAAATGCAGCTGTGAAGCTGTGCAGCAGAAGAGATTCACTGAAGGCCTGAATCTAAAGACCGTTCACACTGACAGCGATTTGAAAGCATCAAGCTGCCTGGAAGTCATACAGTTACGAAGAAAGTTGGTGATTTGAGGCGACAAGAGTGATGGCAATGGTTGGGGGCGTCAAATGACACGACAAAACTGAAAAAAGTAGAACTTCAGTGAGTGTGAAGGCAATGGTCACATGTGAGATAATGTAGCCAAGATGACCACATTCCCTGCAATGATGATTTGTTTAATTGGATTTGTGATCAGATTTTCTGATTCTTTGTTAGGCAGCCCAGCAGTAATATTTGGGCATCCAGCAGATCAAATTCATTGTCAGTGTGAACAGCCCTCGGGTGTTGAAGCTCAACTGTGGGTTTTGAGCACTGGAAAGAAGCACTTATTATTAATGTACAGTATTAATGCTTTAAGAATATGTCAGGCAGAAAAAACATAAAGAGGAAAACTGTTGAGAGCCAATCCATCTTAGTTTAGTGTAGCAGCCAAAGTGACGCACCCATACAAGAAACCTCATGTAATTTCCCCAAGTAATAAACACAAACTCGCTCCAGAAAATAAAAGGTTGGAAAACATGAATGTGTTATCTTTTTTATATATATATAATCTGAACTAAAGTATGCATTTATGACAGTTTTGAATTTTTCCCTTGAGATCCACTTATATTAGTGACGATTAATTTTTTTCCACACTTTTTTTTTTAGTTTTTTTGGGTGTGGTCACTTTTATCATTGTTTGGCAAAATCTGTGCAAATTTCACATGAGAGCAAAAGATTTCCCCATGCAGATTTCACAATGCGTTCAAGTTGGTCATGTGAATTTGCTGTGTTGACCAATAAAAAATGTGGCTTGGTCTGAAAATGATTACTGTGTGAGCTGTGCTTCATAAATGGCTACACTATTGACAACAGACATTTTTTTACCCACGAAATTTCACCAAAATGTTGCTAATGTGACATCCATCTTAAAAGTGCAGCCACATTTAATGTAATTTGGTGAATTCTCACAGGTCAAATGCAGTCATTTCAATAGGAATCCATCCATGCCATTGGGAATTTCACAAAAGGGCAAAGATTTCCCCTTGCAGATTTTGGGACGAGTTCAAGTTGGTCGTGTGTATTTGCCACGTTGACCAACAAAAGCCACTTAGTTTCAAAGTAACAACAGACAATGGGCGTTTTTTTGCATGAAATGCCGCTAATGTGACCACATCTTAAAACTACGCAAACACCACCTTCACATGTGAAATTACTATTTTCCAAAATTTTTATTTTGTCATAATTTATTCACCCTCAAGTTGTTCCAAATTTTTTTTTAATACTATGTAAGTCTATGACTACCATCAACTCTTTGGTTACCAACATTCTTCAAAAAAATATTCCTTTACGTTCAACAGAAGAAAAACTCTTACATGTTTGGAACAACTTGAGGGTGAGTAAATGACAATTTTCATTTTTGTGTGAACTATCACTAATTTAAATAGATGCTGTTTTGTAGGTTATAGTATGCTAACAGTATTTTATATAATTTCTAGTATAATTTCATAAAATAAAGCAAAACTTGATTCCTTTTATGACCCCATAAAATAACACATCATATTCTTCCTTAAAATATGAGCTCTTCATATACGTCGACCTGGAAGCAGGCAGACAGAGACTGATTGTTGCTTTTTATTTCAGTATTGGCAAGTCTACTGAGAACGGCTTGTGGCAGCATTAGAAGCCCAGAAACCTGCAGCGGTTCAGTCGAGCTCTGACACTGCCGCTCATTCAGTGGGGCGTCTGCACCCTCTGCTTTCCAGCTACGCGAAAACAGCAGCGAGAAGCATTTCCACACACACCACATCTGAACCAACAGGCTCCGTTCACATTGTGCAGAAATAAAAACAAAAAATTTCTAGTATAATTTCATAAAATAAAGCAAAACTTGATTCCTTTTATGACCCCATAAAATAACACATCATATTCTTCCTTAAAATATGAGCTCTTCATATACGTCGACCTGGAAGCAGGCAGACAGAGACTGATTGTTGCTTTTTATTTCAGTATTGGCAAGTCTACTGAGAACGGCTTGTGGCAGCATTAGAAGCCCAGAAACCTGCAGCGGTTCAGTCGAGCTCTGACACTGCCGCTCATTCAGTGGGGCGTCTGCACCCTCTGCTTTCCAGCTACGCGAAAACAGCAGCGAGAAGCATTTCCACACACCACATCTGAACCAACAGGCTCTGTTCACATTGTGCAGAAATAAAAACAAAAAATGAAAAAGAAACACAAGACATGTCTAAATGGAAAAAAGAAACGCCGAGTACAGATAAAAAAAATTGAAACACGTGCCATTAAAAGTCACTCACAAGACCTAACTTCGTCGTCATCAGTCTGTAGTGAAATAATTTACAAGAAAAAAACAACAAAAAAATGAATCGGGTGAACAAAGCACACTACTTGATTCATATCGCCCTACTCTTAAAGCCTTGCAAATTCATATGTACCAGTGTCAAAAGCCCCAGTAGGAAGTGTAGTGAGAGGAGGCGGGGCTCCCTATAAAGTGGGTGGAGCTTCAGCAGTCGGTGGGCGACACCCACACACAAAAGGAAGCATGAATTGCAAGAATAGAACCTCTTCAGCCAGAAAAGAAGCATTTAATTTCACAACTATGTGTTAAATAAACAAAAGCAGAGATATCCCAATATTCAAGTGTGAGCATCATACCCAAAATTTCAATTGAAAGTGTCACTATGACTGGAGTCGATTGAAGAGCTCTATGCAATGGAAGATGCGGGCATTTGGAGGTGGCTGGATACGTTACGCGCTGTGCTCGAGTGCTGAAAAGACTCGGGATGATGGACGTTATGAACGTGAGAATTTGATACGTTTGATTGCATCTCAAAATCAGAGAGTGATGGAAAAACAGCAAATGCAGAACGACGGGACGAAAATCAATGGAGATGGTGCACTGAGAGTGCAAACAGATGAAAGAAATTAAGAGGGCGATAAAATATCTCCCAAACTGCCCCCTTTTCTCTAACGAGTGCACCCATCTCTGTATTATTAAATTGATTTATCTGAATGATATTGAACTTGAAACAGCTTTTGCACTTCCCTTTAAACTTTACAGTACAATAAACTATGGTGCACAATTGTACTCGGAGCCACACTATGCGTTCTGGAGCTCAAAGAAGAGAGCGTCAGCTGGACAGCACTGGTGACGTTGATTCAACGTGGGGCCCAAACGCCAGGGTCGCTGGCGAGGCAGTGCTACACTGCAGCGGGCAGGCCAGATAGAAAATAGGGAAGGATAGTTTCCTCCCCCTCTCAGTCCTGTCCAGGGTCTTTGGTGGGCCCTCCGTCTAAGTAAATTTTGAGGGCCTTTTCTTTGCGGGGGGAGTAGCTGACCCGGTGGCCCGTCTTCAGAAGGCGGCTGCTCTCCTTCTTCATCAGTTCATTGCGCTCCTCCTCAGACAGCTCCATGAGCTCCTCGGTGCTGTCCCTGCAGAGATGGGCGCAGAAAATAAACTCTATTGAATGCATGGTTGACTAAATGACCAACAAGCAACTAGTGAAATACTGATTAAGACGACTAGTCGGTTTATTCTTTTATCTTTAAAGTGAAAGTGAAGCAGTCAGTCAAGTTTACATTATTTAGTAAATTGATATTTACTTTAATTAAAAAGTACACAACAAACACGCTTATTGTAATCATTTTAAAGAAAAAAGGATGTTTTGTTATAGCTTTTGGAACAAGGGCGCCGCCATGTTGCAATTCCACAGTGTGTGACGTCACAGGGTTGGTTTGCTCCGTTGGCCAGTGAAGTAATATAAGCATTTCTTTACTTTTTGAACACATGCTTGTTTTGAAATGAAGGAAGACAAACTTGAAAGGACTCTTGAGCCCATAATAAGTCCAGTTGCTTATGCATGAGCCAATGCAGCGAAGGGACCGAGCAGTAATACTAGGGCTGGGACGATAAATCATCTAAAGTGTTTTTGAAAAATCACATACCCTGCCTTTAATGTAAACACAGCCACTGTGAACACCTTTGTAATTCGCTTCAACTTTTTCGAATTTTATGAATGATTATTTTAGGTTCAAGTGTGTGTAAGGTTTTGGAAACAAGCAGAGTACGGCCGTTTGTAAAGCATGCAGTGCCATCTGCTGTTCAAAACTAAGCTCAGAATCGATTCAAGAAAGAATCGCGATGCATTCGGAAAATCTCAGAATCGATGCTGAATCATTTCTCGATTCTCGATGCAACGGTTTATTTTCCCAGCCCTAAGTAATACCGTTACGGGTAGAAGAAGTTGTGTGCATTTGCTCAAGAAGATGTGAAAGAGAACTCAATTTGGTCCTTGCGTGCTGTCTGAGCGGCTTTTTGCATGCGTGCACACAGAAACGATCTATCACAGCGCGCGAGTGCCGCATTGAAATCTCTTTCGCTCTGTCTTGCGTTTGAATGGCTTAAAACACTTTAATGTTTAAACTGGCAAGGCTTAAAACACGTGAGAATGATGAACATTCTTGAGGAAGCAGCACTAGCCCGATCCTTCAGATAGGTGGTTAGTTTTAGTGTCATGTTAACAGCAGCTAAACTAATAGGGTATATGTGTCGAACGTCACCTGACCAAACCCGGAAAACAGGTCTCATCGCTTGTCAGAGAACGTGCTAACAGTCATAATAAATAATAGCGATATCTATGGACTTTTAAGATAATCCGTTAAACTAGCTAGCTGTTTTTATGGTTGAGGTTTTATTCAATTTTTATATCTAAATGTTAGTGAAAAGAATAAAAATAAAAAACTTTTACATATCAGTCTGCATATGTGATGTATCTACTTTGAAGGCATCTTCTTTAGTAAAACTGCTTCATATTTAACGAAGCATTTGTAAAACACTTGAACCGGAAGCAACGAAACCCGGTTAACAGAATACGGAAGTCTGTTGCGCATAGTCCCTATTGTATTTGCAGGTGAACATAAAATATGTAACATACCAATAATGGTGAACGAGTCAGTGTGATGCAAATATGTCTGAAAGGTCTGACATAACACTAAGATGCGATATGAATGATATAGTATGAAGCGTTGTTTGTTTACATCACACTGTGCCTCGCGTGATGAAAACAATGTTTGGGATACCACAATCAAAACTTTGTGATGTAGACAGTTTGATGTTGGATATTCAACCAAATTATGGTTAAAACCAAAAACGCTTGTGTGTTAAAAAAACATTTGTGTTCAAAAAGCAAAGAAATGCTTATATTACTAAACTGGCCAACGGAGCAAACCAACCCTGTGACGTCACACGCTGTGGTATTGCAAGATGGTGGCACCCTTGCTCCAAAAGCCATAGCAAAACATCATTTTTTCTCTAAAACGGTTACATTCATCGTGTATTTTTTTAATAAAAGTGGAAAACAGTTTACAAAATAATGTAAACTTGACTGACTGCTTCACTTCCACTTTAATAGCAATGTTAATGTTTAAATTAAAGGTAGTTTTATTAAAGTAACTAATTATATAAGGGGTCTCCGAACTAGGTCCTCAAGGGCCGGTGTCCTTATTTAAAGAAAACTGGCAGATTTTCTATAAGCTTTTTAACCAGGGCTTCAAGACAGCCGGATGACGCTTTTTGAGGACTTTTTGCTGACAAATAAACAGGGATATCTGGGTGCGGGTAACAAAAAATAAATAAATAAATAAATAAAAGGACTACACATTGTTCATTTACATACACTACCAACATTGTAACAATACAAAGCTAATTGAAAATTAGCAATTATCTTTTAACAATTAAAAATACATTATTAAAACAGGAAAGAAATAATTAAATTCAATAAAAATAAGAATATATATCATAGTATTATATATAACCATTTCATAGGACTAGCTAAACTAGTCTTTGACAACTCACTGACTGGTTGATTCCAAAAGTCTGTCTTTTTGCACTTCAAACTGATGCCCATATTATGTCTCAAAATACAATTTCCGTACTTAGCTAATTAAAAAACTAGTAATCAACTTTATATATGAAAGGAAGAGGCTTTACCTGTAGAAGATCACGGCGCCATCATCACAGATGTAGAGTGGCCAGACATTGAGGGTGGAGACTTTAGGATTCCAATCTAAATCCTGATGGATCTCCAACACTGAAATGTCACAAGGAAAAGTTCCTCGTCCCTGTAGGAGAAACAAGAGAATCAGATCTGAAGCACTGCAGGAAGGGCATCTGAAGCTCAACCAAATGTGAAACGCAAAGACTGCCGTACCTTGGCAAACTCCAAGTTTTCAAGAGGAATTCCACTCAATTCACTGAGCTGAGGGAACAGAATTAGCACTCAATTGAAGATAAAAACAAGTTTGGGAATTCTTAGTATTCATCAGCAGCATTTCATATTCCACAGACCTTCTCCTTGAGCTCCTCTACACTGCTGCTCTCCAGCACCACCTCCCGGAAGGCCTCCAGCTTCATCTGGGCTGGGCACCAGCGACGGGTCAGAACCGCCAACTGGGACATGGACTTCATCCGCTCTGATTCTACAATCAAGGAAATCAATGAATGAAAAAATATATGGGCAACTGAACTAGAATATTTATGGCAACTATGATGGCCACAGTCTTCACCTTCAAGGACTTCTAGGAACACCTCCCAGTTGCTGGAGATGTTGATGTCCTCCTCATAGACGTGATAATCCAGAAACACTGTGCCTGGGTTCTTCCAGGTCTTCTTCCTGAGTCTAAACCTGTGACACAACAGAGCAACAATCATCTTGTTAGTATTCTGAGGCATTAATCCTCCTCCACTGTGAGTCAGTGCATTTCAAAAATCAGTTGCTGCAGTGAAGCACTGAGATGCATCACTGCTGCGTGCAGAAGGTGGATGTGCATCCAAAACTGCTGCAGCATATTCATGAGTCAGGCCTGTGACAACAACAGCCATCCCAAGAACAACAAAACTGAGATTCCAGATGGTTAGCATGGTAAGTTTTGAATAAAAAAAATAAAAAATAAAACTTAATTGAACGTATAACACATCCAAAATGTAAAAGTACGCAACCTATTCTACTTTGCTGCAACACTGCAGCAGATTTAAAGTTGCGTTCTTTTAATTCAGCTAAGAGGTCACACCATGACGTATCAATCCTCTGTTGGTCACACGTGATTAAAATTTGCATGTCGTATTTCACCAAAATTGTACTTTGGAATGCAGTGAAATGCACACAAGTTTGCAATCCCGGTCCACAGCATTCATATGAATATGATTGTAAGTCAATGTAACAAAAGTATAGTGTGACCACCCCTTAAACTGCAAAAATCTAATACAACACTATGTCCAACTGTCTTTGGGCGCGCGCACGGCATGGTTAGGGTTAGGTGTGTACGCGCTCTGGCGTAGTTTACGCAAGCGCCGGAAGTGATCTCTCGCGCGTATACGTCACTCATTGTTTACACAGTGCACAAACATTGTAGGTACGACGGCTAATCAAAATGGTACTTACTTATATAAATACTGTTCGGTTTCTGGCACAAACCGATCGTTTCGTGTCTTAGGACATCAATGTGTCATCACGAGCCGCAGGGTTTAATTTGGATTTGTCTGTGCATGTTTTTTTTACTCTCATATGTGTTCTACTGAAGAAACAAAGTCACCTACATCTTGGATGCCCTGGGGGTAAGCAGATAAACATCAAATTTTCTTTTTGGGTGAACTATCCCTTTAAGGTCTACTTATGCTAGTCAAGGTTTTTTGCACCCAAAAAATTCATGATTTTTCAACTATGTAACAATCTTTTGTTATGATTGACTTATATTTTAGCATGTGAAATAAGTAGCAATGCTTACTGAATAGACGTTGTATACATGTGGCTTGTTAACATATTCATGCGTTACCTTTTTGCCTTTGCAAAATCACAGACTATGCAACAAGCCATTTTTGCAGTTTAAGGGGTGGTCACACTATACTTTTGTTACACTGACTTACAATCATATTCATATGAATGCTGTGGACCGGGATTGCAAACTTGTGTGCATTTCACTGCATTCCAAAGTACAATTTTTGGGTGAACTATCCCTTTAAGGGCCTGATATGCTTCAAGTGAAATCGAAGAATGAACCTGTGTGATGTAATTTCTAACAAAATCGAGCCAAAAGTCTATTTCAGAAGTTCAAAACAGCTAGCCAAAGCAAATATTTGGGAAAAGTTCGCTCAGACTGGTGAACACTTTCAGAATAGCACTTCTTTGAAGCGGTTAATTTCTTCCATTCTGTCCATTGAGGTCAGATGCAAATAACAAACACACACTGGAGCCGCTTCACAGTAGAATTTGAATTTGTAATTCTAATTGAAAGAAACAGTGACACTGTTTCCCC